ACTGCAGTGAATTATCGAACCCAGGAGAGAGGTGGCGGGTGCTTTGGGAGGAATGGTTGGTGAAAGGGCTGGAGGGAGGCAGCATGTCTAGCCTTGCAGTAATAGGCCTTGGGCTATTGATGGTGACTCTGTCTTCCTCTTGTAGGGTTCTAGGAGGTCAGAACATGTGGCCTCCTTGTCCTTTTTGCACTCTGGTTACAGGGCAGGACATTTGTCTGTGATCCCATTCTGGCCAGGCCTCACAATGCCTGCTGACCTTGAGCACTTGGGAGCAGGAAGGGGCACCTGATCTCCTGGGTGAGGAGGAGGTGGCAGGGTAGGCTCACTGAGTTGGGCTGTGGGCATCCCCCAGCTGGCCCACACTGGACCACAGACATATTTGCAGTCGGACATTGACCAAATAGTTGTTATGAGTACATGACTGTACTTTCGTATTGAGAGTCTCCATGGGTCGAGGCAGATTGTGCAACTCTGCTCTGCTGAGTACAGAAAGAGAAGAAACTGGGGGGGGGGGAGACTTTGAGACTATCAAAGACAAATGGTCTTCAGTGAAAGCAAAGAAAGTGTAGTTGCAACCTGAAAGAAACTGAGTTCTCCCTCTATCTTCCTGTGAGAAAGGATATCCAACTTCTCCAGAGAAAACACCAGCTTCAGTCCCTTTCTGTATCAGACTGTTTATCATACACCAAAAATTTCCTGAAATGAGAAGTCCCATATTTTGATTGGAGCTCTGGTAGCATAGTGCCTAAGGCACTTGACTGCTAACCAGAAGGCTGGCGGTTCAAACCCACCAGCCACTCCTCGGAAGGAAGGTTGGGCAATCCTACTTCCATAGTGATACTGCCTCGGAAACCCAAGGAGGGGTCGCTATGAGTCGGGGGCGACTCGACGGCAAATAACAACAACATATTTTGATTGCACAAAATACCATGCTGTGATGTAGGGAAAAAATGTATAGTCATATCAGCATCCTCTCCCACTCTTGGCACAAGATCCAGCAGGAAAAGTGGAATCTAGCCAGTGGGAATCCTCCCTTATGCCCCCTCATGTGGATGTGAACACACACTCAAAACGTGTGTAGAGTCAGCCCTTTATGCCCTTAGCTCTTCCTGTGGTAGACAACCAGCACTGTAGGTAACTAACTATTTTTCGTATTATTATGAATAATAATGATATGCAACAAGCAGACCCATACGTAACTTCAGGTTGGAGTTCTAAGAAAAGGAACTTAAAATAAGCACTATAAGCATTTTACGTAAAAGAGAGTAAATTACAAGAAATATATAAAAGAAGACATGCAGTTGCATAGGGTTTGGCAAACTACAGTCCACAGGTGAATGTAATAAATTTAACAGACTTTATACCTAGAAGGGAAGATGAATGAAGATACATCAATATACAATTTTCAAATGAAAGCACAGATATAACTAAAGTTGGGGATGGAGGTGGGCCTTGCATCACCTTTTAGAAACATGGTCTAAATTAGTTTTATCTAGGTTCTGCTTGTCAATGGATGAGACAGGATTATCCATCAGTCTCAAATGAGCGACAAGAACAGGTCTTCTTGTAACCCCGGCAGAGGTGTGTGCCCCGCCACTTCCTCTCCTGGACTGCTACATGGGTATGGAAGGGGCCAAGAGTCACTTCAAGTTGGTGACTTGGGGATTTATTATGAACTTTTCTGGGAAATATAAACAAGGTCAAGTTTTCATCAGTTCATTCAGCTGTTTTCATGAGCAGTGTTCTGTATGTTACCAGGGAAGGGCAGTGCTCAGTGGTTACCTAATCAAAACCAAACCAAACCCACTGCCATCAAGTCAATTCTGACTCATAGTTGATCCCCATTGGGTTTCCAAGGCAGGAAATCTTTAGAGAAGTAGACTGCCCCATCTTCCTTCCATGAAGCAGCTGGTGGGTTTGAACCACCAACCTTCTGGTTAGCAGCCAAATGCCTTGGGTACTGTACCACCAGAGTTTGTGGTTACAAAAGTTAGTATAAATATGTAAGACATTTTGAAAGTGGGACACTACCTACATCATCTTTGTTCTTCTGTCTTTATCCTGGGGCATTTTCTAGCCAATGTACCCACAATCACCCAGGATTACAAAAATAAATAAGTAAACAGATTCCTTCATAAATTTTCAAGATGCTGTTATATGGAATTTCAAAAGGATTTAGGTACCATCAGAATTTGCTTAGGGTAATTATGTTTGCTTTCATCTTAACATGTACATACATAACTGTTGTTGTTGTTGTTGTTAGGGATTAAGAAACATAATTGCATGCTGTAAATGTTTCCATTTATATTAAAAATATTTCCCAAATAACCCAAATCTATGTGGTTTTAGTACTACATTAAAAAAAAAAAAAATCTTGACCAACATACTAGATTTTTCAGCAACAACATTTACTGCTTACATAGATGCAAGGACTAATCTATTAGTTTAATATAATTTCTTATTACTTCTTAGAAAATCCTGCATTCTTTATTTCAGATCACATCACAATCCCATTATTGTTCTACATATTTTCTATTAAGAGATCTTTTGTCAAAATTCTTGGCTAAATTTTTCTCAAGGGTTCTTTTAAAGTTGTTTTTGCTTTATCCCAGTCTTTATTTTCTGATATGAAATACAGGTAAAGTGTTTGGGATTTTTTCCACTTTGACTTTCAGACTGTTTTCTCCTCACTGGAGAACATTAATGCTGGCTAAGGAATGAGTCATCACTGAAGCCTTTCCTTCAGACATGACAATGAGAGTGTTTTACACAACTGAATGTACACGTTCTAAAATGTTGCTCTATGAATGACTCTTCATGATTTTTCATTCAATAACTTAACTTGTCCACATCATTTATCTAGTATTCCATAAAAGGCTTTGTTCTTCCAGTAGACAGTTTTCTGTCACTTCATGTTTTAGTGCCGTCTTAGATTTCTAGAGCTGGTGTAACTAAATACCACAAAGAAAGTAGCTTTAAGTAATATAAATTAATTTTCTCGCAGTTCTGGGAGCTAGACCAAATTCAGGGCTTCACTCTCTATCTGCTATAAGGGAAGATCTTTCCTTGTCTCCTCCACTTTCTGTTAGCCCCAGGAGTTTCTAGGTAGGGGATCTTGCCTTGTAGTACATGACATGTCTCCCTGCTGTGTCTCTCTCTGTCTGACCTCCCCTTTTGTAAGACACTATTCAGAAGGGATTAGGACCCACCCTATTCCAATACAACCTAATTAACTGAAAACAAAAGAAAAACCTTATTTTAAAACAAATTCACATTCACAGGACAGGGGTTAGGAATCCAAACTATCTTTTGGGGGTCACAATTCAATCCATAATGAGTGGTTATTCCCATACTGAGTTATACTGAGCACACCAAACGATACTGTACAATGATTACAGACCTCAGGTTTATCTCCTGTGGAGTCCATTCACTCTCTTTAAAGGATCAGTATATACATGAAGGCATTTCCACATTGATTGGAGACAGATTTGTTCTCACTTGTACATCCCCTGGTTTGTCTGATCGTTAGAACTGTGACTGAAAACTCTTTCACATTTACTGTACTTCTACTGTGACTTCTCTCATGTCATACATATGGTCAGATCACTGACTACAGGCTTTGCCACATAGATGACAACCATCTGGATTCCCTCTAGTATCAACAGTGATTACAGACATAGTGTTCCTTCCATGTGTGATTCCTCTGGATGCTGAAATGTTAAAGTTAAGGCTGAACTCTCTTCCACATTTATTACATATATAGTATGAGTGCTCTCATGATGCCTAAGGTCAGAACAGTAAGTGAAGGCTTCCCCACACACGTGGCATTCATACGGTTTCTCTCCAGTGTGAGTTTTCTCATGATTTCTAAGGTCGGAACACTGACCGAAGCCTTTCCCACAAAGCTGACAAATATGTGCCTTCTCTCCAGTGTGAATTCTCTCATGAAGTCTCAGATTAGAACTTCTACTGAAGGCTTTCCCACATACATGACATTCAAATGGTTTCTCTCCAGTGTGACTTTTCTCATGATTTCTAAGGTCAGAACATTGACTAAAGGCTTTCCCACAGAGTTGACATCCGTAAGGTTTCTCCCCAGTGTGAATTCTCTCATGCAGTCTTAGGTTAGAACTTCTACTGAAGGCTTTCCCACAAATATGACATTCATATGGTTTCTCTCCAGTGTGACTTCTCTCGTGTCGTCTAAAGTGAGAACAATTACTGAAGGCTTTCCCACAGAGGTGACATTCATATGGCTTCTCTCCAGTGTGAGTTCTATTGTGTTGTATAAGGTCAGAAAAATTACTGAAGGCTTTTCCACATATATGGCATTCGTATGGTTTCTCTCCAGTGTGAGTTCTATTGTGTTGTTTAAGGCCAGAACTTTGAATAAAAGCTTTCCCACAGAGATGACAAACATATGGTTTCTCCCCAGTATGAATTCTATTGTGTTGTATAAGGTCAGCACAATTAGTGAAGGCTTTCCCACACAGATGACATACATACGGTTTCTCTCCAGTGTGAATTCTCCCATGTTGCCGAAGATTAGAATTTGTACTGAAGGCTTTCCCACACACATGACATTCATATGGTTTTTCTCCAGTGTGAGTTCTATAGTGTTGAGTAAGGCCAGAAAAATTACTGAAGGCTTTTCCACAAACATGGCATTCATATGGTTTCTCCCCAGTATGAGTTCTGATGTGTTGTTTAAGGCCAGAGCTTTGAATGAAGGCTTTCCCGCATAGATGACACTCATGTGATTTACTTCTAGGGTGAACTTGCTTATGTTGATTATAAGATGATGAGTCAGTAAGGGATTTTCCAAATTCTTTGCTAATACTGTGTTTCTTTCCCATGTGATTTAACACATGTTGAGTCAACGTAAAACTGTGAGTGAAATCTTCTCCAAAACCATTATATTCAAAGGGGTCCTCTCCAGTGAGAGATCTCTGCTTTGGGAAGGACATGAAAGACTGTTGTTAATAGTTCACCCACACACATTCATTCATTTATCTACATACGAGTTCTACAATAATCCTCAAGTCATTCAGTGAAGAATTCTAGTTAAAATCATCCCCACGTAAGTTACTTATGTGTAAGTTACTTATGTTAGTCTCCTGCATGCATAGAAATTTACTCTCTTACAGTATCCCAACTGCAGGGTTATCACATTAATTCTGAAGAATTCATTATGGTTGAAAAACTATACATGAGATATGCTTATGCAATTTTTTTTTTTTTTTTTTTTAATGAGACCTTAGTTTATAGTTTTGAGCACAGGATAGTTTCTTCCCTAAATTCAAATGAATGAAAACTTTCTGAGGGACAGTGCTTAGGTGCAGCTTAAATTACAATTAAGTGACTATGCTAACTGTGGAGTTTAGCATCCACAGGACTCCAGGTGGATGGCCAAGATTCACACCTGTGCAGCTTACCATTGCCATGATGGTGGGTGTGTCCTTCCTGCAGATATGTTGCAAGGACATCATTTCTTCTTTGTCAAGGTCAATTTCCCTACCTGAAATAACTGAAAAAAAGGATAATTTGTTAGACTCGCATTACAGGAATTAAAATACTGAAAAGCACTGACCTGCATGTGTATGTTTCAAATACTGACAGTTACATGGAAGGAGTATGCCCAAGTAAGGAATACTGAAGTAAGTATTCCCAAGTAAGGAAGTAGAAATATATGATGGGACATGTACAATTTAAAAATATTTTCAATATTGTACAATTGAGAGAAATGAAAATGAGATGTTGGGAAGATAAAGGAAAAATCTTCAAATGTTTTCCAGGACAAGAGCCATTATGAGAAATTTTAGTCCCGAAAAGTACACGAAGATGCTTTTCTCAAGCCAAAGAAAGTGATGGAAGGACATCTGAATACAGCTACGTATATGCAAGGAATAGTGATACAATCTGAAGAAGTCTCCCTCAATGTCCTTACCTACATTCACTCACTTAAGGAATTCTGCAGGTGTTACTTCTAAGCACTCATCCACTCATTCAACAGGCTCCTCTGCATACTGAAACTCACATGCCTGAGCTCACCTGGACTCTGCCCTTCTCTCCACAGCTCCTCTCCTTGCTCTAGTTGGGAGATCACATCTGATTTGCAGAGCTGACTCCCTGTTGGTGAGAAAAGACACAAGGATATTGAAGTGTCTCCTGACAAAAGTATATGACCATCAAGTCCAAGAAGTATACCCCGGAAGAATAAGGTAACCATTGAAGGTCAGCTCAGACAAGAGTATCTGGAATACAGAATGTTGGTAATCCTTCACCGGCAAAGAGATAACTCTTGACCTTGCACTCAAACACATTAACGAGCTCTGGGTTTTTTTTGTTGTTGTTGTTGTTGTTTTGTTTTTTATAATATACATTACAAAACATACACCCCTTCAACACTTTCGACAGGTACAATGACAATGGTTACTCTTTGCACTGTGTCACCATTCTGTGTCTATGCATATTATGTCACCTGCATTAACTTAAGATTCTCTGTCCTCTGAATTCCTTCTCTGTGTTCTAGAGCTACTGTTGTAAATTTAATGTCATACAGATAACTCTTTAAAGAGCATAGTACTCAAGGAGCTTTTCCTTTGCTAGTTGAGTTAAACTTGTTTGTTTCAAAGATTATGTCCTAGCATAGTTTTGGATCTAAGCACAAAGATTATCTCAGGGCTGTAGATCTGTGGGTTCCCCCAATTTCAATGGGTCCAGTAAATCTAGTTTCTATAACATTTTGAAATTCTGTTTCACATTTTCTTTTTGATCAGGATTCATCTACTGGGTCCTTGATCAAAATGTTTAGCAATGGTAGCTAGAAACCATTCTGTTCTTCGAGTGTCGTGGCAGAGGTTAGCATGTCTTGGAGGCAATTAGACCTGCAGTCCATTTCTTTCTGATTCCTTGGTCACCTGCTTCCTCTACTGTCCCAGAACAGAGACCAATTTTGGATCTTGGACAGCCATTTGTAAGCTTTTAAGACCCCAGGTACCACTCACCAAACCAGGAGGTGGAACAGAGAACTGGAAAACAATATATGCTAATTTACTGGACAGACCCCCTAATACCATAACTCTAAATGAAGGACTTCATGCTTGTTTGAGTGGAGGGTCACCAAAAAAAGACAACCCTCAATGAGATGGATTGGCACAGGGGCTACAGAAATGGGCTCTAACACAGCAACAACTGTGATGGCACCGGACTGAGCAGTGTTTCATTCCGTTGTACACAGGGTCACCGTAAGTCAGAACTGACTCAACAACAAGTAGGATCAACAACTCTGCTCCCTTATTTTTATGATTAATTTAGTATCTTGGCTGTTGCCGTTGTAAAATTATGTATAATAGTGTAGCTACCATTTTCCCCTTTTTCTAGTGTCAAACTTAGTGGTACTAGTTATGTTGATCAATTTGTGTAACTATTACCCATAGCTGATGCCTTTTTCCCATCACCATAAGCAAAAGTTCACTACTTCCAGAATATGATTTCCTCTCTCCCTTCCCTCTCCTGTTCCCAGTAACTACTGGCCACTTTACTCTCTATTTATCTACTCTTACCATTTCATGTAAGTGAGTTCCTAGCATAGTTGTCATTTTGTACCTGACTGATTTCATTCAGCATAATGTCTTCAAGGTTCATCCACACTGTAGTACGGACCAGGACTTCACTTCTATTTAAAGCTGAGCAGTACGTACCATGCTTTGTTTATTCATTCATCTGTTGATGGGCACTTGGATTTCTTCCACCTTGCAGCTATTGTGAATAGTGCTGTAACAGACATAGGTGTGCATATGTCTGTTCTTGTCACCACTTTTAGGTTTCTTGGGAATACCAAGAAGTGGACTGCTGGATCGTATGCTAGTTCTATTTTCGAATTTTGAGGAATACTGTTTTCCATAATGGTTGAACCATTTTACACTCATATCAGCAATGGATAAAGGTTCCAATCTCCCCACATACTCTCCAACATTTGTTATTGTGTGTGTGGGTGTGTATCGATGATGTTCTAATAGGAGTGAGGTGGTATTCACTATAGTTTTCTTATTTTTCAATTTCTTTAATTCTGATTTAGATGAAAGTTTACACAGCAAACTAACTTTCCATACAGCAGCTCATGTACACTTTGTCTCATGACATTGCCTAAAATTTCCCACAATGCAACAGTTCCCCTTCCACTTCTTCCCCTTAGTCACCCCTTCCCTGTGTCCTTCCTTCCATGCATTCCTGCCCGCTCAGCTGTCTGCCTGTGCATATACAGCCCTTCTATTCTCCCATGATTGTTCTCTCCAAGGAGTGTATCTATCTAACATAAATGATCAGCTCATAGGCTTCTCTTTTGTTTGGCTGGAAGCCACAGGATTAGGTTCAATTTCAGACCTGAAGGGCAGCTAGGGGCCATAGTCTCAGTGGTTCCATCAGGCTCCATCAGACCAGCAAACTTGGTCCCTTTTTTTGTTTTAATGATTTTGAATTTTGTTCCACATTGTTCTGCCACTCCATCCAGGATCTCCTACATAGATCCCCCTCTGAGAGGTTGAAAGTGGTAGCCAGGCACCATCTAGTTCTTCTGGTCTCATAGTCATATGGGCTGAGGATCGCATGGTGTACCAGGTCTTGGACTAATTGTTTCCACGCATCTTTGGTTTTCTCCATTCTTCTTTGCTCTGGACGAGGAGAGACCCATCGTTGCATCTAGATGGTGGCTTGCAAGCTTTTAAGATTCCAGTCACTACTCACCAAAGTAGGATGTGGAACAATGTTTTGGGTAGTATGTCATGGCAATTGAACTGGATGTCCCCTGCAACTATGGTCCTGAGCCCACAGGTCCAACTACTCACTCCCTCTGGGTAACTGGCTGTGGTCAAGAAGTTACTACAACCTTGTCCTTGTCAGCTCTACTATGTACCTGAGAATTCTTACAGAACATACCAATACGCCTGTAGAAACATTATGTGTCAACCTATACATGGTCTTGTGCACACTCCCCCCTGCACAGACATACCTAATAGTTCAGTCTGTCCACCCATCTACCCACGTTTGCCTTCACTGACAATGCAGTACTGTATGTGCAAAAGGGTTCATCTTTGTTGTCTGTAACTCCCATGCACCTATGTCTTCCTCTTCCTTGATGCCCCCGGTATTCACTATAGTTTTGACTTCCATCTCTCTCATAGTTAATGATGATGAGCATCTTTTAATGTATTTGGTGGCCACTTTAATATTGTCTTTGGTGAAAAGTTTGTTCATGTCTTTTCCCATTTTTTTTTTAAACTTTTACTGTGAATTGGGTGAAAGTTTACAGTCGAAATTCATTTTCCATATTGCAGTTCATACACACTTTCTCTCATGACACTGATTGCCATTTCCCACAACGCAATAGCTCCCCTATTTCCTCCCCATAGTTACCTCTTCGCTGTGTCCTTCCCTCCCATGCACTCCTGCCCCCCAAGCTGTCTCCCTGTGCAAACACCACCCTTTTGTTCTCCCATGACTGATCACTCCAAGTAGTGTATTTACCTGGTGTAAATGTTCACTCCATATGCCTACTGTTTGGCTGGGAGCCACAGGAGTGAGTTCAATTTCAGACCTGAAGGGCAGCTAGAGGCCAAAGTCTCAGGGGTTCC